AAAAAAAAAAAAAAAAAAAAAAAAAAAAAAAAAATTGGTGGACATAAGCTGACAGGCTCCAGAATACATATGTCTGCTTACTTCTTCTTGCTTGATTTACTCTCTCTGCTTCACTGCTTTGTGCTTTGGCAGCCACTGAGAAAAGATAAGTTTTCTAGGTTCTGCATCATTCAAAAGGCAATTATTCTAGACATCTAGATAATGTAGTCTGCATACATCTGTGTGCCATGCCCTTCTGTAATAGTAAGGAATACCCTCATTAACCTCCACATATTCTTTTGCTTCCTTTGCAGAATGAAAAAGATTAATGCTTCTGTGCACTGTCCCATGGGAAATATACAAAATAGCTTTTAGCCTTTTAGAATGTTTTCTTATCAGATGATTTCATATTCAAGACTTGCATTTATTCAGATGCTTCTTTTTTGTTATTTAGTTCTTTTTACACTTCCACAGTGGTGAAGGAAACTTGTTTGGATAGTACGTAAAACCACCCTACATTCTTTCCTAGTTACAGAAAAGATTGTGAGGGTTTTTTAATCTTGTCTCACTGGGTGAAAACCCACTTTCCCCAGGAAGGTGAGTAGAAGTAAAACCAAGCTTCTTATTTCTCTTCCTTCAATCAAAAGTTGATGGACATTCATTTCCTGCATTAAAAGCTGCATTTTCAAGGTAATTGAGAGTGTATAAAATTAGTGTTCTGCTTAACTCAGTTTTATCATTTCTTCTGGCCAGGATGTCTATCATGCTGAAATCACTTTCTTTTACAGACATTCTGACAAGAATAAGCATCTAACAACTTGCAGCCAGTTTATGCTGTCTCTGTCCAGTATACAAGTACTACAGTACACAAGTACTACTGGAACTGAAGTACTGTATACAATTTTAGAGTAACTTTCTAATCAAGAACTACACTGTAGATTAAACACATTAAGCACTTTATCAACCTTTTGTTCTCTTTCAGATGCTTCTTCCCTCCATCATCAACACTCGCTTGTATGTTGGGCCAATAAAAATGATTAAAACTACAGCTGCAGGAATCCAAAAGTCCAGGAATGTCCACAGAGACAGTGACAAATAGCAAAGCAAAAACAGGAGGAAGAGATTGTTTTTCATTGCTGTGCAGTTATCTATCCCTCTCCTCTTATTCAGTCCTTTACACCATCTGCCACGAACTAACTCCACATCATCCATCTGATGGATTGCATATTCATCAATTAGAACAGTTAGAACATTGAGCCTTTAGCTGATTATATTTATGGTAGTGGAGCATCTTACCACACATCTAAGATAACTATCTCAAACACTTCTACAGCTCTAATTCTAATGTGACTCAAAGCCTAAAGCCTCATCTTGCTGCAAGAATTTATTGCATCTCGCCTTTCCCAATCCCTTCATGATCTAGGGAAGGATGTTCACTGCCTTTTTGTACACCCAATTCCACCTATTCTTCAAATGCAAGATGGCACTGGAAAGACTGTAGTTGCTGTACTGCTTACTGGGAGAAATTAAGATTGTAAATGTTTTAATATAATTTTTTTTTGGCTTCATGGTCTAGACAGTTGCTTTTACCTTCTAAACTGTAAAATAAAGCACTCATTGCAATTCATAGAGGCTGTCCATAATTCACAGTGGTTTTCCCACTGGCTGCTCTTTCTGGATCTCCCTACAGAAAAGGCAATGTGTGTCTGATGATCATAGCTGCTTACTCAAGTGCTTTTTTCAAGGTATATTGTTCTCTTTGCTTACAGTGTAATCTTTGTGCCTCTCACATCAGTGCCTTTAGCATTTCTCAGTTTTGAAGTATATACTATCCCTGGCCTGTGAAACAGAAAGAGAGCCGGTGACCTTAGTGAAGTTCTACCTGACCATCATAAAGTGGTATGACCATTGTTCTAGATGCCATCAACTTACACACTAAGCATTTGGCTGATATTTTTTTACATTTCTTAAGCAATCTGTAGGTTTCTTAATTCCTAAGTAGCAAGAAAACTGCATTGGGATGCAGCAGTTTAACAGAATCCTTCATTCTTCACTCAACAGCTTCAATCCACCTGAGAGGTGCTGAGCATAAGTTCAGGGTTCATGTTCAACTCATCTTGGTCACTTTCTAGATGACTATCTAAAACAGGCAAAAACCAAAGCATCCACTGGAGAGGTATTCCCTGGCTAAAGGTGAGGATGTTGGTGGTTTTTTTTTCTCTCTTTTTTTTCTCTTTTATTCTTTCTTTGTTTCTTTTCTTTATTGGTTCATTTTCAATTCTTTCTTCCTTCCTCTCTCCCTCTCCTTCTCTCCACTTCTTCACCATCAACAAGATCAAAATTGGCTAAATTCCTTTGCTAT